TTTTCCGTCAAAAATAAAAGTCTTTTTGGGATTTTTATTTTTTCCGTCAGGAAATAAAACTATTTTTATGTAAAGAAGTTTATACAACTTGTAATCAGTTATAAAATTACAATTTATAAATCTCTGCCCTTATTACAATAAGTGTACACATAAGTAATCAAGATCAAAGGTAAAAAATATTTGTTATAAATTTTTAAAAAATAGTCTAGTGTACCAAATCATGAATATAAATTAAAGAATCATTCGCCTGACTATTAGGTCAAAGGTTATATAACTGGTACCAAACTCTATATGTTTATTTACGTAAAAAGACTTTTATTTTCTGACGGAAAAAATAAAAATCACAAAAAGACTTTTATTTTTGACGGAAAAAATAAAAGTCCCAAAAAGACTTTTATTTTTGACGGAAAAAATAAAAGTCCCAAAAAGACTGATATTTTTGACGGAAAAAATAAAAATCCCAAAAAGACTTTTATTTTTGACGGAAAAAATAAAAATCATTTTTAACAGTTAAAAATCAACGCTTATTTTTTCCGTTAAAAAATAATTAATTAAAGTGGATTTTTTTATTTAGGTCACATCATAACAGTTATTTTTTACCTGATTTGATATAAGTTATAACCGTTACGGTCCCTGTTTGGAATCGATTGGGTTATTAGTTTTTGAGTTATCGTGCCCGCCATTCACAAAAGAGAAAAACGCGTTTAAAGTTTGAGAAGCCCTTCAGCCGTCACTTGATGCTGACACAATAAATCGGCTATATCTTCAAGAGTTCTTGAGATTTTCACTTGAAATTTTGTAGAGACATTAGTGTAGATTCGAATTAAGTCAAGTCCCCTTAAATCATATTTTAATAAAAAAGGCAAATATAAAGCGTGTGTTTACCACTGTGCATCGTTTAGCTCATGAACCAAAGCTTTAACGACAAAACAATTTCTTGTTAAAAAAATAAGAAAATACAAATTTCTTGTTAATACTGACCTTTCTCATAGCGTTAAACTAATAATCGTTAATTTCATGTGAAATTTGAGAATTGCGAAAAATGACAACTGTATTTATTACAACACAAAATTGCGGAAGATAACGTCACCTCATTAGGTGGTTGAGACTCAACCTCTTAGAAAAATATAATTTTTTGGGAATTAAATGTCAAGGTCCATAATTAGTTTTAATTCCAAGGGCTACATTTGATCAAATGAATGTAGGTGGTATTAGAAAGTGTTTTCAAATTAGTTGTATTTTTTCAACCAATCAAAACATTGTTAGATATTAAATCCAATGAAACAGTTTCCTTATCATAAATTGTTTGGCATTAAAAATGCATTCACCGAAAAATTTAAATTTTCCTCGAACTGTCACCAACCAACCAGCAACGTCGTCCATTACAACTAAAGATATATACTGGCGACCTGACGTATGCAGCAGCATATGAGTTGACTTGTCGGAAATATCTATCCAAATGCTAGGCACATACACCTCTTACTGATAGCGATTTTTGTGCTACCTGAATTAAATTACAATCGAATACAATTAAAAACAAAACGAAAGACTATCACATCCACCCTGCGATCGAAATACACAAACAAATTGAAAACAAAAAATGCATTTGCCAAGTCACATTTTTAACAGAAATGCATTTTTAATTTACATGTAAATGTTACATTAATTTGAATGAAATGTCAATAAACGGGCAAAGCGATTATAATTTATGGTGAGACAAAAAATATTATTCCCACATTTTTTTAAATTAATGGTAAATAATATTGGAAGCTCAAAATACACCCATTAAAGATTATGTTAATAATTAATAGTCATTTATAACTTAACTAGTTGAGGGAGTTGGAGAAATTTTATAAGTTGCCCGAATCGAAATGAATTAAATTTGATTTTTTATGCTCACTGGGAGTAGAATTGAATTTAATAACGGAATAAAAGATTGACAACATTGTCTGGAGAAATTAGACAAAAACTGTGTTATGTAATTATAAAAGTTATTAATAATCAAAATGAAAAGATAGATAATTAATGACACTATGATATAATAATTTAACGCACGTGCATAACAATTCACATTATGTTTTCCCATTTAAGATAGTAGTTAGTAGACAAACAGGTACAATTTTTTATAATAACTTCGTGACTCACACATACATAATTTCACTGCCATTATTGTTTTTCAAAGAAAATGAATAAAATTCATTTAGAAAGTTTATGGAACAAATAGTTGAGGAAATTACGGAAAACACATTTTAGAGATTTGATAGAAATGCAAATACATAGAATTTTTGGTTATGATGGCCTATAATGGCCTATTGCATTATAAGAAGCCGAAAAGGTTTCTTTGTCAATTTCCGAAGTTCTGCCGGCTAGCGACCTTGTTCTTGCTTCTCAGCTTTTTACATAATGCAGTTCTTGCGCAGAAGACTTGAAAAAGCTATAGTTTATGGTTGGGCATTTATGTATGTTCTGCGGGGGCATCGTTTCGGCCGTCCATGTGGTGAACAGTATAGCGGATATTTGTATATTCCCACGGCGGCTGGTTCTATATACCGGATTGACGCGGAGAAAAACTTGACCAGAGGCTGCCACCTCAACATATACATCTACAATTAAACATGTGTCAGTCAGTGCTGTCGACTAATATATAACCCCAGCCTATGACTCACGTATTTAGTACTCCCGACTTTTATGGCGGAGGCACCAGAGATGATGGACCTACATATATAAACTTATTGTTAGTACAACGCAAAGGTGAACAGACTGGCACTCTGTACACCAAGCAACACATGTTACTCGCCTACGCCGATGACATCGATATAATGGGCCGAACATTGCGAGCGGTAACAGCCACCTTTGAACAAATTGAGAAGTAGTCTGCCAAAGTGGGTCTGGCAGTAAATGGCGAAAAGACCAAGATTATGGTATCAACGCGCAAGACGTCCAGTAGACTATGACCAACTGTGGAACTTGAGAGATAGAGCTTCGAGGTAGTCAAATGACATCAGATTTGTTGGCTAACAGATGCGAATATGGTCTAAGTAAGCAGTTGAGAAACAAGGCCACCTCCGCCAGACCAAACTTACACTTTACAAAGCGCTGATACTATCCGCGCAGTTATTTGGATCTGAATCAGGGATACTTGCGCAAGCAGATGAGCAGCACTTAAGGTGTTTGAGAAAAAAATTCTCCGAAAAGTCTACGGGCCGATCTGCGTCGACGGTGAATATCAGCGTCGAATGAACCACGAGTTTTATAAGCGGACATCGACATAGTCAGACGTATCTAGTTGAACATTCCACTTGTTTGATATTTAATTAACGGTAAGTAGTGGCCCGACTGGTCCCATCTTCGGACTTCATCTGTACTTGGTAAAAATATTAAAATTTGTAAAATTGGAATGAATTTGGGTATGCCATTCGCTTTATGTGAGATTTACAAGTTTTCAAAATATTAGGTTGGGGAAAAAGAAATCCATTATTTTTATATGAACTATAGCACTTTATTTAGCATGCTTAGGAATGTCCGATTTGGGCCAAATATGCACCGCTTTGTTGTTATTTTAAAGGTGACTTCATAATGCCTCTCTCATAGAAGTACTGCTCTCTATTTGCAAAAAACTTTAGGAGACGATTTTCACAATCAAGTCGCTGACTGTATATTCAAAAGCCACTTATGATTTTAGAGTTGCTATATTTGATTAACCTTAATTCGATAACATTTGTTGGGTTTCAGAACGTAGTCCAAATATCCAAGTATTGCTAATTTTTTTTTAAATAGAGAATATCCGTTATATAGAGACCAATCCACAATTTAGACATTTGGTTTTTTTAGACCTGTAATTTTACAAGTTAGAGAAAGTACATAGGTTGCACTGAATCTGTATCCCACTATTGTGGGAAGGGTAAATTGATAACTTAAGGTATCGCTCATCTTTATATTTTATTTGCTTGCTAATTTATGACAAAAATATTATTATTTTGGAGAAATTTAATTTCTTAATAAAATTCATCATGTTTATGCCAATTTGAAAGTTGCATATTTTGCTCAGGGCTACAAAATCTGAAGTAGAAATGGATGAATAAGCATTTTTTTTAATTTCAATTTAATATTGATCGCTCGGTCATGTGTGAAGTAATATCTTTTTCACTTTTGTGATTTGAAGTGGTTTCGGATAAGAAGAAATTGATAAAGACGAAAAAGATGCAAAGTTGTTCCGACAAAAGCGAATAATGATTTGACATTGACTTGTGGAATGATTTGACACTTTTTGTCTGAGGCACGGATTGTCTGGGTCAGTGATCGACAGTTGGTAAACCTACTGTCGATTCAACAAAGGCTAAAATCTGAAATTCGACTGGTTTTATTATTTCAGGCAATGAGAAGAAGGTACAGTACATATGTAACCTAAAATGTTAAATTCTAGTAACACCTACGATCGGAAAGGACCTTTAATATAAGCTTATGTATAAAAATGGACATATAGTGAAATATTTTTTAGATAAAGACCTTTATCTTCTGGGAAACCTGGAATACGAAGATAACAATAACACTGAATACGCTACTAGTCTAGTGGAAAACATCCTTTAAAAAAATCACGCCAAGAGCTGTTATAGACTAGTGGAAAATATTCTTTAAAAAATCCACGCCAAGAGCACTAATAGTCCCTCAAAAATATTCTTTAAAAATCCAGCCTGCAGCTGAGATAGTCCTCATCGATATTTCCATAATTGTGATTGAAGAATGTTTGATATCTTCATATATAGATTAACAAATTTCCGATACAAAAGTTCCATTTTCAAAACTACGAAGCCCTTTGTGACGGATAATGCAAAAGTCCGTTTAAGAACTCTAGGCTTATCCTGATTATTTGCCTTATGGATTCTCCCACGAATATTATGTGGTGAGATACCAAAGTCAATATATTTTTCATCTTAAGGTGCGGATTCAAAAATTCCTCTTATTTCTATCCTAAGTCATTGTTGACTCCTCCCAATACTCACCATCTTTCTCCTTTTGGATTTTCTTTATTGTCTTCTTGCATTCGTCCAATTCGCGGGTTAATCGCTGCATTGCCTTATTCTTAATGGCCAAATCGACACGCATACCCCGTATGGTGGCCAATAGATGAGCATCTTCTTTGGCATTGAGAGCTGCCTGGGCAGCCGATAAAGAAATTGTCGAATCCGATTGTGAGACAGGTAATTTTGAAGCAATAGCTGAGGATAAATGTTGGCCGGCAGCGGTGGCCATTGGTTTTCGTATACCACTTTGTTTGGAATTTGGTCGTGAATTATTGGGTGTGGAATTGGCGGTGCTGCTGGTACTAGAGCTCGCGGATAGGGCTTGTGCCACTGCCGTACCAATTGTATTGGTACTACTATCACGGGTACATGCTGAAGTTGGCTGGGTTTGAGTGCTAGCAGTTTTGCGTATTATTTTTGGTTTGGGTTTGACGGTTACCGGGGGAGGCGGTGTTGGTGCCACAGGTGGTGCTGCTGCTGGCACATAGGGTTCTTCGGTTTGTGTACAATTATTGTAGAATTTTTCCGCCTTCTTCGAGACAAAATAGTCGAGAGTGCGTACTTGTGATTCGATTTTTTCATTTAGTTTTGTATTGATTTCTTGAAGGCTGTGAGGGGAAGAAGAAGACAATATTAATATTCAATTTTATTGTGGTTGATTTTAAAATACCTTACCTTAATACTTGTGTTTCCAAATCGGCAATGTGTGTCTCATATTTGGCCTGCACCGAATTGAAACGGGCCTGAACATTGGCAAGTATTTGTTGGGCTTTAAAGTCTTGTTCTTTGGCATCGGCCTCTAATTGAGCTATGCGCTGTTCCAATAGCTTGCGGCTATTGCGATCTTGATCATTGCTGGACATTCCACCTCCCTTGGCGGCAACTATGTGGGAGAGAGAGGAAGAACACTATTAGTTATTGAGAAAAGATACGGGAATGGGAAATACTTTACCTATTAAGGCCGATACTGAGTCCGGGTGTTTGCGCATAAGGATCCTTTCCATTTCTCGACACTGCCTCTGCAAGTCTTGTATGGTTTTGGCATCTTTCTCCTTCAGTTCCAAGGCCCGTTTACGTTCTGCCCTGGTCTCTTCCAGTTCTGTCTGCAGAACTTTTTGCAATTCCAAGGCCTCATCACGATCATGCCGCGCAGCCTGCAATTCAGTCCTCAATACATTGGCACATTCATTGAGATGTTGTACATCGAGTTTCAACATTTCCGATTCTTCCTGCAATTGGGTATTACTCTCACGTAATTTACGATGTAGTTGTGACACCGTGTCGTGTTGTATCCTAAATGACTCCAATCGTTCTTCGGTGTCTTTGAGTCGCTCCTGCAGCTGTTCTATTTCCAATTTGAGAGCATGTTCCCGACTGAGGGTAGGCTGTTGCGGTACGGTTTCAGCAATGGGCGATGTCAGGGTGGAGACAACGCGTACCGGTGATGAATTGACAGATTTGTCGCAATATGAACGTGTTGTGGTGCCAATGCCAATCGATTTGACTTGTGGCCTGTGTGGAGGGGGCTGTGTGGCACTACTGTGGCCTGTCAGTAACGATTGGCTGCTAACACCACTATCGGGTGTAGTCATCGATGATCGGCGCCCCAGATAACTGCCGGAATTACAACGTTCCCTGGTGGCGTTGTTAGTTGTGGTGGTGGTCGAGGTATTGGCGACATTCTGTCCTGCCAAACGTTGCAGCGGACTAGCCAAAAGGTTTGGTGTTGAGGCGGTTTGTTTTTGCAGCGATTGTGCGGAGCTGTTGCTAATATCAAAGCTGGGACGTCTAGCATTGTGGCCACTATATTCAATATGCATTCCATGGCCACCAAGTTGTTGTTGTTGCTGCTGTCCCATAACCGTACGTGCCGAATTTATTGATGATATTGAAGAGAATGTGGAATCATTATTATTGGCAGACGAGGATTGATTTACCCGCCTGGTATTCAATGGTGGTGGCTGTGGCGACATGTTGACAGCAAATTGGCGGCCTCCTGGTTCATCCGCACCATCATCATCATAATCGCCACCTTCCTCGGCTTCTTCATCTTCATCATGGACAATTAATTCAATTGTTTCCATTGCCTCGGTTATTTCTTCGATCTATAGAAGTTCGGAGAAGAGAATCAAATGAGACAATAAAAGAAATTAATAAAAAATAGAAACAATAACAACAACAGAAACACTAAGAAGAAGATTACACACATAACTATAATCGGATTATTATGAAAGAATCGAATCGAAGTGTATGAATGGTGCATGGATAAATAGATGAAATAGGCTTTCACGGTTGGTATGGTGGCAGCCATGGAATGGATATTGGACCATTGTACTATAGGATATTGTATTAGGGAAATATGTACGTATGTATGTTTGTGTACATGTGTATCTAGGCGGACTAATGGAAATTCAAATGAAATGGAAAGTGATGCTGATGCGCTTTTTTCTTCATCCATACATCGGTCCGTCCATTGAAATTTCACACCTTTAAGTATTCTATTGTTCGATCATTGATGTTCCCTGAAAAATATTCTTTAAAAAATCCACGCCTGAAGCCTTGATGTTCCCTGAAAAATATTCTTTAAAAAATCCACGCCTGAAGCCTTGATGTTCCCTGAAAAATATTCTTTAAAAAATCCACGCCTGAAAAATATTCTCTAAAAAATCCACGCCTGAAGCCTTGATGTTCCCTGAAAAATATTCTTTAAAAAATCCACGCCTGAAGCCTTGATGTTCCCTGAAAAATATTCTTTAAAAAATCCACGCCTGAAGCCTTGATGTTCCCTGAAAAATATTCTTTAAAAAATCCACGCCTGAAGCCTTGATGTTCCCTGAAAAATATTCTTTAAAAAATCCACGCCTGAAGCCTTGATGTTCCCTGAAAAATATTCTTTAAAAAATCCACGCCTGAAGCCTTGATGTTCCCTGAAAAATATTCTTTAAAAAATCCACGCCTGAAGCCTTGATGTTCCCTGAAAAATATTCTTTAAAAAATCCACGCCTGAAGCCTTGATGTTCCCTGAAAAATATTCTTTAAAAAATCCACGCCTGAAGCCTTGATGTTCCACTGAAAAATATTCTTTAAAAAATCCACGCCTGAAGCCTTGATGTTCCCTGAAAAATATTCTTTAAAAAATCCACGCCTGAAGCCTTGATGTTCCCTGAAAAATATTCTTTAAAAAATCCACGCCTGAAGCCTTGATGTTCCCTGAAAAATATTCTTTAAAAAATCCACGCCTGAAGCCTTGATGTTCCCTGAAAAATATTCTTTAAAAAATCCACGCCTGAAGCCTTGATGTTCCCTGAAAAATATTCTTTAAAAAATCCACGCCTGAAGCCTTGATGTTCCCTGAAAGGACCAGAAACAATAATCAAACCAAAAAAAGACAAAAAAAAGATCTGCAGCAGCATTTATGTAAATGCCGAAAGCTACTGTCACTTTCAATGAAAAGTGATACCATTTGGAAGAGTCTTGAGTCGATGCCGCCAGAAGAAACAACCAACTAACATCCAGTAGCAGTAACCCAAAATAACATAGCATTACAAATTTGGTATTTATTCTCCCATCCTCAATGGCTATGGAGTGGAAGTCCTAACCGACAAAACATGCCAATTGCCATGACAATAGCCTTAAACTTGTTTGAAGGATCCTCGCCGAAGTTGTCTTTGCGTGAATTGTTGAGGCTGTCTTTAGTTACTTGGTATGATCCTACCATTGAGTGTGTGTGTGTGTGTGTCAAAAACAAGTCAATTGTTGATTGCATGCCATTGGACAGCAACGACTGGCTTCCTTGCAATCGTACGTTCGTTCGTTTACTTCTAGCGGTCTGATGCCTCATTAAACTTAATAAAGTATTTGAATTGGTTTTATTACTCTGGCATTTTTGTTCGTGGGGGCTTTACTTTGGCCACAAAATACAACAACCATAACAAAGATATATGAGATTTATAGATAAATTAAACAAACCCCCAAATACAGTGGCATAGTGGAACAAGCATTTAAAAAAATGCCTTTAGATTTTTTAGTAGATTTTGGTTCTACGAATATATTTAGGGAATTTTAACCTTGACGTAGATTTTTTTTAAAAAAGTATTTACTCATGGCGTGGATTTTTTATTGAATGTTTTGTACTTAAACTTCATTTAGGATGGTTTTCTTAGAGAATATTTTTTCCGTGAACTCTTCTGAGGGTGAGGTTCATAAATAATATTATTCCTGGGATTATCTTCTCTAGGCGAAGATTTTTATCAGAATATTTTTGAGCCACCATCAAAGAAATCTTTTGAGGAACTATTACTGCTCTAGGCGGGGAATTTTTAAAGAAAACTTTTGAGGAACTATTACTGCTCTAGGCGCCTATTTTTTAAAGAAAACTTTTGAGGAACTATCACGTGGAATTTTAAATAATAATTATAATAGTTTTTTATTTCATATATTTTGTATTCCCTGTGAACCACTGTAACCTTCGCCGCTGCAGCTGCTCATATGTAAATGTGTGTAATCACAAAACTATATGGGACTTGGTTGTGTTATCGTAAACTGTTAATCTTAAATGGCAACAAGAATTGGATTTTATGGTGCACTCTCTCATTGTTGGCACAACACATTTCGAACAAGTGGATTTTTGGCACAGGGCTGTATCAACAGGAAGGGTAGATAAATCTAGCAGATAACGAAAGTGTGCGATAGTGCGCAAAGTAGGGGATTTTTTTATTTGCAGGGAATTTTCATAGTAAACAAGACGTGGTAAGGATGGGAAGAGATGGTCAAATGTTGTAAGTGGGAGGCTATAAAAAATATATGTAAGGATACAAAATAATATATATGGTCCTAGTCGCATTTTCTTAAAGATGTGGCTCTAATTTGGCATTCCGGGTTTTTTGATGGGTGTATTTTTTTGCGTTAATATTCCCGCATCATTTTGTGTGTCTATTTGATTTTAGAATCTGTAATTTGGTTGCAGAGCGATTTTAGGTATTTTGATTTCCCAGGAATTTAAGGAGGCTTTTAACTTGCTCATTGCTGAAAATGCTCATATAAAAGTGCTTCTAATGATCTTCTATAAAACATCTTCTACATACCAAAACACCAGTCATAGGCTTTTCATGACCAATCAATGATTTTTAACTTTATGAAAGTTAACCAGTCTAACTTTCTGATATTCTCAGCGGGGCAATATTTCGTGATATAGGCTTTTCATGACCAATCAATGATTTTTAACTTTATGAAAATTAACCAGTGAGCGGGGCAGTATGATACCCTACACAACTACCACGAAAATCTAACTTTCTGCGGTTCTATATTCTCAGCCTGGGCAATATTTCGTGATTCAAATCTTGTTTTTCCGTGGTGAATATTTATGCCATAAAATAAAAATTTGTTCACTTTAGATTTTGGTTGATTTGACCCTCGGAATATTGACCCCTTATCTAAACAGCCGTTATAAGTATTTGGCCAGACCCCCTTCACAGATCGCTATATAATAATGGCCTCAACAGATCACTTCCGAAAAGTACAGGTGTCGTCTGCAAATTCATGAGCGATCAGCGCTACATTTCCGTCCACTAGTGTGGTAATGGTAATACAAAATAATATCACATAACGTAGACCCCTGTACCTGTAAGAATATAATTGGTATCAATTTTAAGGTCGTAGTGGATGACCTTTAAATTGATATACCATCAACTTGACTTGGTAAATGTTGACCGATCTTCAATAAAACAGTCGTGTTTATTTTGCACCTTTCTAGTGAATATTTCGTGGTGTTTGTGTCATAATCGTGGCCTCTAGAGCGACCAGAAAAACAGACAAAAATAAAGTTGTTGGTCCATTTCACCCCCTAAATATTAAAGTATCATTACCAAAAACAATAGGGGACTTCTTTGGTAAGAACCCATCCTACATGCAAAATTTCCTGAAGTGGCTTTGAAAATTTGCATTGCGATTTGCAGAGTTTTGATTAAATCGGTTACGCCAATTGCTTTATATGAGTTATGGACATTTTCAACATTGTAATCCTTTGTGGGGAAGATATCAGAAAGAGGTGACAATAATCCTCTTCTTCGAACCAGACACATGCTTAGCAAAAATAATAGTTTGTGCAAATCTTGGACCAGATCGGATACACCGGTTTACTAATATTACACATACCGTTATTCGTTTTGATATCTATGAGTAAAACGTCACCTGTAGGTATTTTATATATAGTACCATTCATGGACGTACGCAGGCCCGGGGAGCCAACCTAATACTTTGGGGAGAGTGAACAGGAGTGGACTGATGGGTCCCATCAGGCATGATGTATGCTTGGTAAAAGTATTACGATGTGTAAAATTTGCATCAAATCGAACATTACATTCGCTTAGCATTAAACTAAAATTCTTTGACTTTGTGTGGGAGTTATCGCCGATTCCAATCTTCGAACATGATCAAGATTTTTTTGAAAATATTACAATTGGAAAAGTTTTGTCCGAAATGGACATTCCATTTTGATTCAAAACGTTGGCATAATATTACATGATTAATTTTTACTAAAATTTTTCCAGTTCCCTGAAGGAGTGCACCGATATTTCCTATCTTCGAATTGATTTATGATTTAAGAAGAATTACGATGTGCAAAGATTGGATGAAATTGGTTACTCCTTTCGAGAGTTATCGTGCACACCAGGGTCTAAAACCAATATTTCGATGAGACACATATTTTTCCGTATCAGCCTTACAGATAATGAGGATAGCCATAATGCTGACGGTATAAAAATTTCTATTGTACAGAGATTGTGGTCAATAATAATATCCTTATATAAGTTTTCTATAATACCAAAAAAATGAATTTCTCAAAAAAATTTAACTACATATTTGTCTACACCTCTGGCTACTTAAGACATTATTATCCCAATAGCAAAATAGACTTCAATTATAATGTGTAGGTACACCACACTATCACATATGCAGATTACAAACACACATGCAACAATATTCACATGTAAGACAAGAGCCAAGTACCTACTATCAAATGCAATTTCGAGTATTTTAGATGATGCTGTGGGGGTTGGTTGGTTGTTAAATTGCCTGTTCGATGTTTACATGTTTGTTCTGTTGCTGT